CAGATGGACCTTAAACATATGTCCAGGATTCCTCTAAAATCCTTAATCATTCACTTTCAGGTGATGCAAGGAGTGAAGGAGATAACGAGAAATAGTGTCAAGTTCGTGGATGGTCAGGAGAGAGAGTTCGATGCTATAATCTTAGCAACGGGCTACAAAAGCAACGTGCCTACTTGGCTCAAGGTAAAACCACGAATCCATCTATTTTGTTTGCCTTGTTATTTACCTCTGTTTTTTTATGAAATGCCCAAAGACCTGTCGCTTTCCAGAGTTGGACACATGCAGCATACAGAGTGCAGAATTTTACAAATTTCTTCTTTCTCAGCATGCAAAAAAGAATATAATCAGTTCGGGCTTATGCACACTCCGATTTTCCAAATACAGATTTTGAAATTTCTGTTCTTTTTGTGTGACGTTTCACCAACGAAGGGTAACAATCATTAAAATATGAGACATGGCGATTTGCTGCTTGCAAAAGCTAGCCCAACGTGTGTCCTTTTTCCCTCTTTCGCAGCCTCAAGAAGTTGTAGTCTTCTCTGCGGAAAGATCAGTCTTTTTTATCAAAAACTAATATCAGTGTCTTGAATTTCTTTTTTAATGATCGGTTTAAGCTCCATGGCAGGGCGTGGAGCTATTATGCTCTGAGAAATCTTTTCTGATTCTGCATGCTGTCAGTAAAAATAAAACTAAAATCCAAAGTTGCGAACGTAAGCATCAACTGTATTGTACTGCATATATCATGTGTTCTATGTATACGTAACTCTCGTGTCTTCAGATTGAAAGAAGAATAATATCTTACGCAAAATCTCACGTTATTGTGAAATCGGTGAATGTTTGCTGCAGGGCTGTGATTTTTTCACCGAAGATGGAATGCCAAAAACGCCCTTTCCAGAGGGTTGGAAGGGAGAGAATGGATTGTATACGGTGGGGTTCACCAGAAGAGGTTTGCTCGGAACCGCTTCTGATTCCACCAAGATCGCCCAGGACATAGCTCATCGGTGGAGGACCGTCAAAGACAGCAAGAACTACCGTAATTCCCACATCGTCCTGCTCAGGAGCTCCTTATGCCCTTCCCGTCCCAATCAGCTTGTAAAATGCAAGAAAGATAATTAGTTTGAGAGATCAATACTGGGTCAGGGTCAGATTGGTAATTGTATTTCTCCCTTTAACCACCCCGACCCAGGTTTGTCACAGGCCCTCCGGTGTATGTACAATTTTGTAACATTGCGGTATACAGCTGCTAACCTCCCTCCCAAGTTTTACCGTCTCATCTATGTACAAAACATTTTTATAAATACAAGGAAGAATTATAATCAAATCTCGTATAAAAGAAATAATTATTAAAAAGTCTAATAACAACTTGAACAGTTTATAATAATAAGTTTTAGAATATAGAATATCGATTTTTAAAACTTGTTTTATAATTTTTTTCTTTTCTTAAGGTCTTATTATAATTCGCCCATTGTTTATTTTATTAGCTATCTCTATATCATTCTCAATGTCTTTTGATCATATTCGCTTCTATTTGATTTGCTTTTCAAACGAAAAATCATGAACTCGCATTAAAGTTCTGCAGAAAACGTACATACCGGTTTCTTAAAAACAAGCCATGAAAGAAGGCTTTTTCATGCAGTGAGATCAACCCAACGATAAGTGTCAATATGAAACGTCTTGGAGATCTTGTTAGCCTTGTGTTATCTCTTTCTCTCTCTCACGCTGATAATTGAGACAATGATGGCACTCTGATCCGACCCCATTTGACAGCCCTGGTTCTAATACACGAGTCTCTGCGAGTTGTTAGAATATTATAGGATATACATACATATATCTTGCGTATCTCTATATATATATATATCTCCCTCTCTCTGTATGTGTGTGGTTAGTGCAAATCTTCTTGGCTTGTTCGAGGAGGATGCCTGTGCCGCCATATGTAGAGGCAATGTCAAGGACTACATGCTTGCACATGAAAGGTATAAGTGAAAGGGAGAAAAGTCCAACGAGAGAGTCAAGTAGTACTGGGAATTACTACTACACTCCACATTCAATTTGTAACCCCATCACACGCTTCCATGCACGCCCTTCATTGTTTCTTACGTCAAGTCAAACAGTACCCCCAACCCCTCTGCCACCTCATTAGTACACAACTCAGTATCCTGACATAGATAGAGAGAGAACTTGACGCCACCCTATTTGCCCTCATGTGTATACTACTATTCAATTTCCAACCTCTTCGAATTGTTTCCAACCCTCCGCCCTCTCCTTCAATTAAAAAACCAAGATAATCATGACGAGTCTTGATAACTAGCAGTGAGCAATAAGGATAACATTGTAGTATACTGTTTAGGTATCGTGCTTTTTATTGTGGCCATCATGGCCCACCAGAGCTTCTCCCTGATGTCACTGGCTTTTTCCAACTCTTCCGCTTACGCCATCAGGAACGCATTAAATCACTGGCCTTTGCTCTGAGCGTGTTCTACAGTCAGAAATTGAAGGGAAGGGGAGAGTTATTAAATGGGGCGGAGGGTGGGTGAGTGACACGCGCCGGAGAAGGGGGTGTTGGGGGTAGTGAGTCAAAATGGTTGCAGAGACCGATGCAGGAGGAGGGGAAGGGAAGGGATTGGCATGACACGGCAGGCATACGTAGTGATCAAAGGAACCCAATAGTAACACTGAGTGAGGAATCAGAATAACGCACGCCCCATGCAAGCCTCTCCTTCGTCCCCTTCAGGACCATCTATACGACAACGCGCTTCATACCCTGTTTTGATTTATCTCTCGTTTCTTTCTGATTGTAACAGGGAAAGCGTTTTTGGCATTTTTGTTTGGGAGCGGGTGATGAGGTGATGACGATGAATATGCATTTATGGAGAATATATATGTATAGGTGGGTCCTGCACAGAGAATTTCATGGTTGGGCCCCACTTGATCCCAGTGGCAAGTTGCTTTTGCAGCAGCTGGGCTTAAGCTGACACCATCAGAAGGAAAGGCCTCGGGATATTCATTTTTGGAGTCCTTTTGTACTTGTTCGTTTCCGGCCCAGCCCATTTTCTCACATGGTCCAGCCTCCTTGCAAAAATTCTAGATTCAAAATTCACAAATGTCCACTGAACCAATCAACCAATGCCTTTGCTGACACGGTCAAAAATTTTGAATGGGTCAACTGAATTTGATTTTTTTAAAAAAAATGCGTTGGGTTTGAATTACACATGATTTGTGCGCGTGTGCGTGTATATATACACATATATGAATATTTTATTTAGCCGTGAATGTTTTATATTTAAATATCAAGGTATAATTTTGACCCAGATTTTATTTATGAAGTATAATTTTGTCTCTGATCTTTTTTTTGGGTATAATTTCGTCTCTCATAATCAAAATTGCACCCAAAGATTAAAGGCAAAATTACACTTAAGAAAAAAAGATAAAAAAATTACACCTAAGAAATGAGGCCAGGGGCAAGATTACGCTGCTAAAAAATTAGGAGTAAAATTATACTAGAAAAATAAGATCAGTGTCAAAATTGCATCTTAACCGTTTAAATATTACTCTTCAAGACTATATATGAATATTTTTTTATATTTTACCTAAGTTATATTACTTTTTGCCTTAGATATAACATCCATTTTGTAGTATAATTTGTGTTACAAAAATAGATATTATATTTGTGAATTAATGTAGTATTATTTTAAAGAGAATCATGCTAAGGTCTCAAGAAAAAAATAATTACCAATAAGTTTTAATGACAAGTGAGTAGTTGTTATTTACCGTTTTGAAACTTATCATTATAAACTCTTTTGTTGTTATGAAAACTTTTTAATAATTGTGTTTGAGATTTTTTAACAAGTTATCTCTTATTTTAATTATGATCAAATTGATTTCAGTTTCATCACCTATTTTCTCAATCGGTTCTATATTTGGTTGCATTTTTTACACTTTGCTATCGAAAATCGTTCCCAATAATCTATAATCTATTTTGATGGCGATGTTTTCTCCAAACGATGGTTAATTGTGATTCTAGCACACCTCGTGGGATGTTTTCTCTCCCCAACCGACCGATGGGATTTGAAGCAATATTTATTCACTATAAAAATTTATCAATACTAAAATGAAAGCATTACAGTGGGCTGATCATAATCTATTTTGATTTATATCTATTCAGGGGTGTTTAAGTAATTTCAAAATCACTTTTTAAAAATACCTTTTCATAAATTAAAATAAGCTCCTTCACTTTATTTTGGATATTATAAAAATATTTTTAAAATTATACTCTTATTTCTATCCATCGGTAAACGACAAGGTACAAGAGCGGTCTTCAGCGTTTCAAGAGTTCAAGACATTCCCCAACTGTTTTCTACGGTTGATGAGGCATGAAGGACACGGACACGGATCCTAAGCTCCACGTGATGCCTTGCTAAAACAGATTTAGTTTACGCGTTAGTTAAGCTTCCGTTTCACTCCATAAATTTTTACAGTTTTTTCAAACCAGTCTCAAAACATGCTCTCCTCACATGTTCAATGTGAGAAATATCTTTATTGATTTTTAAGTCAAGAAGAGTCAATTTTTGAGAGCAGGGAGTGGGTGTCTACTTGCGTTTATAATCCGAAATCAGTGAGCTAATCCTTCATGCTAGATTCGGTTCCCTCGAGGATCCATGATTCGTTATCCATCCGAGGGGAATGTTTTACCAAATTCCAGGAAATGTCACGGCGTGGTAGCCAGGGGGGTTTATTCATAATTCATAATTTCATAAATAGATCGACCTGGGTGGGGGAGTGAAATTACTAAATTCCCCGTACAAGCTGTCCGTGTGTCTGACATGCTGAATTCCTGTGAACAGGGGAATAGCAGGTCATTGGTCAGGGATTTTCAATTCAAGTCTAATGAGGTCATTTTAGTCATTCAGGTAGAGAGTAGTCCCTGAGCTCAAATCCATCAGCTGAAAATTTGACAAGAACTGAGGGGCGAATTGGTAATTAATTCATCTGTTTCATTGCGGTATCTGCAACAGCAGCACTTTCCCCCGCGAAGCCGTCAAAAGAAGGTTTCAGCTTGCTTGCAAAAGCGAAGGTTAAATAGACAAAAAATAAGTTTGACAAAACAAAAGATTCATTTTTTTTGGCATATAAAAAGGTATTCCCACATATCTTTCCCCGTCATTTTCCCCGTTTTATAATATTTGATCAAGATTAATGATTAACGATCAATGATTATCAATGATATAGTTGGAAAGAATCAGAAATCTTTATTTTCCGTTTCTGCTAAAACCTGAGGAGTAGCCCCTGTTCATCCCTTGGATTTTGCCCCCACCACCGCACCACTTCTCCCACTCTCTTCTCTTCTGCCTCCCTTGGCATCTAAAGTGTCTTCATTTTTGTCGTGTTCTTCTCTTCGTTGTCGCATAAACAATTGAAGCTTTTCAGTACTGGGTTCAATATTGCTCATAGCAGAGCAAGTTCTTTCCTGCCTGGGTATTTCTGAAGTTTGTCCTCTGCTGGACCAGATCGTGGTTTGGTCTCAACAAGATGTCTCAGACTAACTGGGAAGCTGACAAGATGTAAGCGTTCCTTTTTCTTGTTCAATTTCATCCATCTTTGTTGGGATTGTATGGCATATCATCCTGTTTGTTCACCTTCAATGAGCGTTTCCTCTTTGTTCTCTTTATTTATCTATTTCTTCTCTGGATTTTCGGGCTCTGATGTTTCTGGGCATCTTATTCAAGCTTTATTCTCTACACACGCTTGTTTTTAATGTATGTATCTTATTAATGCGTGAAGATATTATGCTGTGTATCTTAGGGTTCACAGTTTGCCAGTTTAAGGGGTTTACGTTCAAATGAATTATCAATGGGTTCGTTGGAGTCAATTTATGACACTGGAAAGATTCAATCTTTCTCTTTTCAAATACAGATACGACTTGTTACTGTGCTTTGAAATTTCAGGTTAGACGTTTACATACATGATTACTTAGTAAAGAGGGATTTGAAGGCTTCTGCTCAGGCTTTTCAAGCTGAAGGAAAAGTATCATCCGATCCTGTCGGTGAGTTACATGGAAATAGAACTCTAGTCAGAAAAGGCTGGGTTTAGATGTGGTCTTTTCTCTTACTTTCTAGTTTTTGCGTAGTAGCATTTCATCTACTTGATTTAATTTCTTTTCCTTTAATATCAATATGGTTTGGCAGCAATTGATGCTCCAGGAGGTTTTCTCTTCGAGTGGTGGTCTGTTTTTTGGGATATATTTATCGCTCGGACTAATGAGAAGCACTCAGAGGTTGCTGCATCTTATATCGAGGTTGGTTTGGAAATATTTTATTATGTTCTTATTAGTATCTTTCCTCAGGTTAGATTTCTTTGGCATGACGGTGCTTGAATGCTGACAGAGAAAATATGGTATTTTGATTGTTTCATTTCATATTTTGTAGTTAAATGCAAGGATTCCTTTTCCTGTATTCCGTAAGGATAAGGAACTTTATTTTCCACATGGATTACAGTTCTTCAGTTTCCCTAAACTGATGGCTGATTTTTATCGCTGTTTCTTTCTATGTATAATTTAGCTGCTATGAACATCAGGGTCATTTTAGTACATCTTTTTAATCAACTAATTCGTGGAAATCTGAGATTTACTTTCTCTCGCTTCCTGATTACTGACAAAATGACTAGCTCTGGCTGAATGATTTAATACTGCTATTATGCCTGAGGTCTTCATGGCTGTTCATTCACCCTGACAAATATTAACGCGCCAGACTGTTATTTTCTTTCCCTGCTGGTGCTGGAATACAATTTGAAACCCATCCCTAAAACAACTGTTATTAATGAGACTTGATGCCTACAAGGCATTTCAACCCATTATTACTTCGCTTTCATGGTTTATATTTCTTTAGGCGTGGAATTGAACATGGACGTCACATGCTACCACAGAATTTATATTATCTAGATGCAATTAGAAGTGTCGCACCTTGTTGAAGTGTTCGTGTTTCATAGGTGATAGGAGGTTACTTTTTCTCTTCATCGTTATACTCATTATTGATATATCTGTTTGTTTTGCTTGGAGAGACTCGGGTGTTAGCTGTGTTGTCAAACTGGTGAATTGGTTTGACTGGAATTGCATTCAACATTTTTGTTACTCTAATGAAGTTGATGGCATTCTGGACCTAAAATTCTCCGATAATTTCCCAAGGAAAAAACTTGAGGCAGTGCTTGAAGCTTATGGCATGTAAAACTGCATTTGCAGACACAGTTACTTAAGGGAAGGGAGCAGCAGCAACAGCAGCCACAGCAGCCACAACCCCAGCAGTCACAGCAGCAGCAGCAGCACATGCAGATCCAACAGCTTCTGATGCAGAGGCATGCGCAGCAGCAGCAGCAGCAACAGCAGCAGCAGCAGCAACATCAACAGCAGCAGCATCAACAGCAGCAACCACCCCAGCAACAGCAGCCACCACCACAACAGCAGAGAAGAGATGGATCTCATCTCTTAAATGGAAGTACAAATGGGATAGTTGAGAATCCGCTGATGCGGCAAAACCCTGGTACTGCAAATGCACTGGCCACAAAAATGTACGAGGAAAGGTTAAAACCGCCTCTTCAGAGGGATTCTTTGGACGATGCAGCAATGAAGGTATGGGGCATTCAGGTCTTCGAATAATCAAAATATAAACTGCTATTATGATTTTGATTCATAGCTATGGTTTGGTTTGTCATACAGCAAAGATTTGGTGAGAACATGGGCCAACTCCTGGACCCAAGTCATGCCTCCATATTGAAGTCAGGTGCAGTTTCTGGCCAACCTTCGGGGTAATTTTCTCTAAACTTGGTGTAAATTCCTCTCAGTCTTTAAATCATTATGCTTGTCATATGCCTTGGACAGAGTGCAGATATGCTTGATTATTGTGAGTTTGATGGCAACGGGTGCTGAAGCTTGCTTCAAATTTTTTGCAGGGAAAATTAATGAATAAAACTTTTTGCTCCAATCTCATCCCTCTTTTTCGATTTTTTGTTTCTTTTTTTCTTTAGGCAAATGGATGTACAATATTTATTGGAAAATGGGTCAGCTATTTGATGCCCTTGATAAGAAGAAATAATAACAAAAGATAGAAAAGTTATTAGCTAGATTTTCGGGTTTTTATGGGAGATGTTAGGTTGAAGCTTTTGTAGAACTGTTGAAGGTTGTTAAGAGGCTACCTACCCAATGGTAAGAATCTGACTTCTGCTATGGATCTAAATATGGGATAGAGGAGTGTGATGGTGATTTTTGAGCTAATAAGAATTCTTTTAGTACTGAGTACGAGTTTTCCTTTGAAACAGAGAGGATGCACGAGTGATTTCTGAGTTCTGATAAAAATTGAAAGAACTATTGTTGGGCAGAGTCGGCTGAAGAGCATGTTATTTGTTACTTCTTTGGAGAGTTCAAACTGGAAATAGAGGCTTTGTTGGAATTTTTTATCCCATTATGCCTTCCAATACTATGTATCTTGCAAAATTACAATATGCCTCTGTCCATGTTCCCCCAGGCCAGAACTCGGTATTCTTGAAACCCCAGCCATTCTACAACTGCTTTTACCATATACCACTCTATTGAAGTCAAAATCATATAATAATCCCATCTCACCTGCATACTGAAATTCATCCACCTACTCTCTAGAACAATGACTTGTGATAGGAAATGACTGATGTTTGTAATTAGTGGAATTAATGATGAAAGATTGGAGATTGCTAATTTAAACTATAAAGAACCATTGAAGGGAGATAAGAGGCTAATTACCTAACTGTAATAGTTTAAGTTCTGTCTTTAAAAAGGTAACATGAAATAGAGAAAGTGGAGACTTGGTTAGTTCGAATAAGTTATATTATAAATGTAGAAGGAAGAAAAGCGGGAAATTTAGATTTGACAGTTGAATCATATTCACTTTTCTTCGTATCTCTCTCCATTGTCCTTTCCTCCTCCTCCTCTTCTTTTGCCATAAAACTTGGCTTATGTGATGCAAAATAGAGATACTCAGAGGATTCTTTGGGTTTTTTTTTGAGTTAATTAGAATTCCTCTGGTATTGACAATATCATTTTTCTTCCAAGTCTACCACTATTTCATTGACTTGAATGAATGGCAATCTGCTATGTAATCTCGTCTTAGATTTGTGGTCTGACGTTTTCTTAAAGCTATGGGTGTTGAAATTGTTGGCACGAAAAAATTTGATTTCAGGCAATTGTTGCATGGTGTTGGTGGTGGGATGTCTCAACAAGTTCAAGCTCGTAGTCCACAATTACCAGGGTCTACTCCGGTATGGTATTGTTATGACTTATGAGAGTGACGGCATAACTTCTTCCTTTCTTATCAGTGTTTCCCTGACTTCCCATTATGAATCAACCAGGATATAAAGAGCGAGATAAATCCTGTTTTAAATCCTAGAGCTGCGGGTCCTGAAGGATCATTGATAGGAATTCCTGGTAATCTTTTGTTGCATTATTCCTTTATTCCAGTCGACTTGGATTAATTGATCTGAACTAGTTACCATGTGATGCTATTTGATCTGAACATAATTTGCTTTTTGCATTACTCTTGTGGTTTAGAATGTTTTGGAATTTAACACGTACATTTTCCCATTGTCATGCGGTCATCTTTACACAAAGATTTAGTTGACAGGAGATTTCTTTGTGTTAGGATCGAATCAAGGTAGCAACAATTTGACTCTCAAGGGATGGCCACTTAAAGTAAGTATTTTGTTTCGTCCTTTTTATTATTTAAATTGGATTTATTAGTTTTGGTGGAGCATCTGGTCCTCCACATTGTACGATCACTTGCAAGCATAAATGATATAATCCTTTTTTGGAGCTTAAGTCTGTATGGGAGGTTGCTCCCCTCTTCTTGTATCTGTATCCTAGAGAATTTTTATCTGATAGAACATGTGACCTATTATCTAAAGCCTCAAGCACCGTGCTTAGTTATCTACTGTCACAGCATCACGCATGCTCAGTAATTGAGTAACTGCGTTTCACTATTTACTAGATTTTTCTATCCCTTACTAGGGGTTGGATCAACTACGCTCTGGTCTTCTCCAACCGCAAAAGGCTTTTATGCAGGGTCCTCAGCCCTTTCATCAACTTCAAATGTTGTCGCCCCAACATCTTATGCTTGCTCAACAAAATCTTGCATCACCATCTGGCAGTGATGAAAATAGACGACTTAGAATGCTTTTGAATAATAGGAATATTGGCCTAAGTAAGGATGGTCTTTCAAACCCCATTGGTGATGTGGTATCAAATGTTGGGTCACCACTTCAAGCTGGCAGTCCTCTTTTGCCTCGTGGAGATACAGATATGCTAATGAAGGTGCTAATTCTCTTTAATTATCAGTCCATATTCACTTATCAATTTTACATCATTTGTTCACCTGTTCTTTACACCGAGTTACACCAAGTTTCTTGGTTTACACTGAGCAAAAATTTTCACTTGTGTAGTTAAAATTGGCTCAGTTTCATCAGCAGCATCAACAACAGAATACCAATCCACAGCAGCAGCTTCAACAGCATGCTCTTTCAAATCAGCAATCTCAGACTTCAAATCTTAACATGCATCAGCAAGACAAAGTGGGGGCTATTGGTAGTGTCACAGCAGATGGGAGCATGTCAAACTCTTTCAGAGGAAATGATCAGGTCAGCGAACCTTTGGTTGCTTCTATCACCTTATTCAGAGGCAATATTCAATTTCTTGGTTCATTATGCGCGGTGGAATTCTTATGCAACATGTTTCTAGTGATTAATATTTTGTAACAGAAAGGCATAAATGTTATGAGTAGCTTGGAAATTTTCTAATGCTCACATTTGATTTTATTTGTTAAACAGTTATATAGACACACATCTTTGATATATCATGGCACCAAAATACTAGTCATATAAGGCTTTTTTCTCTCATCTTTGGGATTCCATTATTTTTTATGACGGAATAATTTGTATTACAAGTCAAGCAGTAATTGATTAGTGAATTTGTTTGCATGCCAATTATTAGACTGGTTTTTAAGTTCAATTATTGCAAAATCAATTTCCTCAACCTGAAATTTTGTAAACGTAGGTAACCTGTTTTATGGAGAAATCTACATGATGATCCAGTAAATCAATACTGAAAGGGATATATTTTTATTATAATTGTGGAAAACTTGGCTTTTGCTGGTTCGTTCCTTTGAAGCTTAATCCCCGCCGCACCTTTATGTTTCAAAGATGAATTACTAGTTTCTAATTAATGGCATATAAAATGTCTGTGCTTGAATTCACGAAGCTTCTGATATAAGTACCCTATTGGGCCCCCTCTTCCTTAATATGTTCCTTACAAGGTGTTTCACACTGCTTTAAGGCTTCCAAAAACCAGACTGGGAGAAAGAGAAAGCAGCCCGTATCTTCTTCTGGTCCTGCCAATAGCTCAGGAACAGCAAATACGACAGGCCCTTCTCCAAGTTCAGCTCCCTCAACCCCTTCAACTCATACTCCTGGTGATGTGATATCGATGCCTGCTGTGCCTCATAATGGTAGTTCTTCAAAGCCTCTTGTGATGTTTGGCACTGACGGCACTGGAACTCTCACATCACCTTCAAATCAGTTGGTAGGTGGATTATTCTTGAACATTTCCATTGATGGAAGGAATAATAAATTCCTTGCATGTAGACTCATGGCCATTCCATTTTGGCAGTGGGATGATAAGGATCTTGAATTGCAGGCTGACATGGATCGATTTGTTGATGATGGATGTCTTGATGACAATGTTGAGTCTTTTTTATCCCATGATGATACGGACCCTAGAGATGCTGTTGGTCGTTGCATGGATATAAGCAAAGGTGCAGCAATTTTTTTTTTTTTTGTAATTGATCATAACATTTTCTGGCTTCGTCCTAGCTGTATTGTTTCTTGACTAGCATTAAGAGATGCCAACTCAGAAAAGTCAAATCTCTTTAGTCTGAGGCCAGTGACTTGCTTTGGTTTTAGGTTTCTCATTTGCCGAAGTCAATTCTGTACGAGCTAGTACAAGCAAAGTTGTCTGTTGCCACTTCTCATCTGATGGGAAATTGCTTGCAAGTGGTGGCCATGACAAAAAGGTTAGTTGATTAGCCTGGAATCATGTCTGATCCAGTACATAAAATGGTCAACCAAATTCTTGACAATATCTGTGACTTTATGTCTTTGACTTTAGAAACCAGAAGAAATTGGTTTCTGCATATTTGTTATATATAGAATATCTTACCTTTTTCTTCTGATGGTTTGCCATGCAGGCTGTCTTATGGTTCGCAGATTCTCTAAAGGCAAAAGCTACTCTTGAAGAACACTCATCTTTGATAACTGATGTCCGTTTTAGTACAAGCATGCCCCGTCTTGCAACATCTTCATTTGACAAAACTGTCAGGGTTTGGGATGTTGACAATGTTAGTATATTCATTTTCTAGTTTACTCTAATAGTGTACTCCTTTTGAGAAGTACGTTCTGTGGATTCTAATTCTATTTTGATTGGTTACGTCAAAGGTATAGTTCATGCTGTCTTTGAAGCGTGTGACGCACTCACTGTTAGCAGAAAATTTGTACATGAGATAATAAAATTGATGCATGTGATTGTTCCGTGGGTTTGTAGATACAGTGTGCAAAAGGAGTGTAATCTCTTAAATAAATCTACCCTAGCAACCTAAGCTTTGAATATGTTGTACATCAAGATAGACTATCCTACAATAGCGTTCCCTGGCAGTGGATTTTCCAGATTCAATTTACTATTCTTTAGTATAATGCTACGACACCAACTCAGGTTGGCGTGGTAGGGGCTCTCATCCTCTAAGCAAATGGCTGGAGGTTCGATTCTAAGTCTTGCGTGTGGAGCAAACCTAATTGGGAGCAGTCTACCTTTTGCTCTCAGTATCCCAAGGAGATTAATTTTTGCTTCCAGTGAAAAATACTTGTTATACATATGAAAATAATAATGCTATGATAGTTTACGATGAAGTTGTTCCTCAAGACTGTTGATGCAGGATTCTACTCCTGAAAAATTAAATTTCAGTTCCTTGGTAGTTATCAGAGAAACGGGCATTACATGCTTCGCATGCTTTGCTGTTTTTCACCTCAGCTTTCGCAGGAAGCTTGTCTTTATTCTTTTCCGATAGGGAATGATTATTCAGGTGTGATCTAAGATCTACACAAGCTTGGGAATTTCTGTTGATTGTAGTTTGATAGGTGAAAGAAGAACAGAAGATAAAAAGAATAGTAAAAAGAGAGAGAGAATCAGAATTCAGAATTCATCAACTGGCATGACAATTCCTTCAATCTGTTATACAACTATACAAGGACTAGTTAGTATAACTTCTTAATAACTTCTTTCGCACTTATTCTGTCATGAGTGACTCCTAACAGCTAAAACCACTTCCTTCTGTTCTATTATCCCAGGAGTTATGCTGAGTAAGTTTCAATCATTTGTTGAGTGTGTATTGCATCCAAAATGGATTTATATCGCAACATAAATTTTAATGTTATGGAATAAATAATTCATGTTACAGATCATATGTTCTTAGCTCAATTTTCAGATTGTTAGCGTGATAGTTTTCATGGGGTTTAATTTATGCATACACTATCTGCATAGAGATTTTCCTCATTTTTGAATGTATACTTGAATGTCAGCTGTATCTTTGGGTTGGCGTTTTATACAATCGTGTGCTTGCAGAGTTTGCTTTCTAAGTCTGTATCTTATGCGATTGTTTTTCTATTTTCTGTTTTGCTCAAGCTTATTAGATATTTTGCCTATGCAGCCTGGATATACACTTCGCACCTTCACAGGACATTCCGCATCTGTTATGTCACTAGATTTTCATCCAAATAAAGAGGATCTTATCTGCTCTTGTGATGGTGATGGTGAAATACGATATTGGAGCATAAATAATGGCAGCTGTGCTAGAGTCTCTAAGGTAGAATCTTAGTTTTCTTTGCATTTCATAATGTATCTGTTTTATTTGGGAGTGCCTTAGAGTGATTGTACTTCCGTTTTAGTTTGGTGTTGTTAGGAACTAATTCATCCCACAAGCTTAAGCTGTGTGGAGAAGGCCTTGATTATTTCACTGATATCTCTAACGCACCCATTTATGCAAAATCCCTTTAGGCTTGAAGCATGAATAAAGCACAGATGAGGCTCTTGTGCTCTGTTATGAACGATTTCATCCTAAAACTAAAAGCTCAAGTTATTAATAGAGAGCTCATGATTGAATTTTTTTATTTTCGGTGAAAATGATTGATTTTATTGATATCTCTATCTTCCATACTTACAATTTTTGTGCTGATTAGGGTGGCACTGCCCAGATGAGGTTTCAACCTCGCATAGGGAGGTATCTTGCTGCTGCTGCAGAGAACGTTGTCTCTATACTTGATGTGGAAACACAAACATGCCAGTACTCATTACAGGTTGGTTTACACCATCATACATTTGGGGATAAACTAATTTTTGTGATCCTTCCAAGGTTGTGTTTTAGTTTTCCTCCCGTTTTTGGCTAACAAGTTTGGATTAATGATTAACCTGGCTCAATAATCATTCGATTCTAGATAGTCATTCCCGAATGTGAAAACTGCTGTTTACAGAGCTATGGCTCAATTGATCTGAGACTGGGAAAATTTTATCCTCATTGTAAATGATCTATAATGATGCTCTAATAATGGGTGAACCCCTCTTAGGAAACTGCCTTTTTGAGTATGTTTTACTTGCTAACTTCCCAAGAAGACTTTAAAACACCCTTTGGTTGTGGCTCTATGATTGTAGGGACATACGAAGTCAATACATTCTGTCTGCTGGGACCCTTCTGGGGAGTTGCTTGCATCTGTCAGTGAGGACTCGGTCAGGGTTTGGACTCTTGGATCGGGGAGTGAAGGGGAATGTGTCCATGAGCTGAGCTGTAATGGGAAAAAATTTCATTCTTGTGTTTTCCATCCAACATATTTTTCATTGCTGATCGTTGGATGTTACCAGGCAAGTCAATTACACCGTTTATTTTCTTTATATTTCTTTATAGTCCATCTTCTTCTGGATATCCATGGATTTGTAAAATTGTGTTTATCTTCATCTGTTGGCCTTATTAATTCTGATCTATTTATAAATAAATAGGATACAAGTAATGTGCTTGTAACAGTTTTATAGCTCTGATGAAATGATATTTAAATCCATAATGTATGGTGCAGTCGTTGGAGCTTTGGGATATGGCCGAGAACAAGACAATGACTTTGTCGGCTCACGAAGGGCTAATTGCTTCCTTGGCAGTCTCAAACGTAACTGGTTTGGTTGCCTCCGCCAGTCATGACAAGTTTGTAAAGCTTTGGAAGTAAGCTGAATGATTCTGTGCCCATCTCCAACTAGCACCACTTCCAACACAGGACTAGGCTTTTACCAATTTGTCCCTCTTTTCTTGCTTCATCAAGCCCACCTTCTTCTTCTCCCTCTTCAGATACAAACCTGTTTTATTGCCATTCCTTGTTATATGCCTGTTTAGCTCTTGCATTGATATTAACATCTGGAAATTCCCTTCCTGCATCAACTGTTCATTAAACTCTCTTTTGGCAGTTAGTTGTTGGTAAATCAATCGGTTTGATAGAATTTTCTGTCCATTCAGCCAAGTTGCTACTGTACGTTCTATACTTCCATGAATATGCTCGTGGGATGTCACTTCATTTTCTCGCGGAAGCCAAAATCACAAACTGGTCACAAAATTAAAAGTGGAGGGAAGGGGGTTTTGAACTGAGGCCTATGTGGCCATTTCAGGAGTCTTTATTGGATAACACCTTTCTGGTTCACACACGTTAATGTCGTTGACAATGAACCTAGTTTGTTTTTTGTCTGTCTCCCAGAAACTTGTACAATTGGCGCAAGTGAAATTTAGACGACAAAACAGTGCCTGTCGTCCTGTCGATTTCATACACAAGTCACCCAATAAACTTATCATTATCAGTACTTCAACCAACAACGGCCCACTACTTATTATAAACACTAATAGGGTCTCCACGGAAAATGGACGTAGATGACTTATTAAACATGTATATGATGTTCACCCACCCCGCCCTCCTCTGGCCCTGCTACATGCCTATGAGCTTAAAATGACACAGACAGCGACAAGAACCATATGCCATTACTAAATGAGTGGCCTGTTAAGACTTCTTTCTAGTACAACCATATTCCTCTGAAGCCAGATATGATACCTTTTTCTTAAATTACTGTCACCTAATGCTATTCTAAAATAGTATTGTTCTATATTTAACTACAACTAGCAGCAGCAGTATGGGTGTGATAAATTATCCAATCTTCATCCCCAAGCTAGCTGGGCAGGGTTTGCTATTATGAAGTTATGTGAGGTCATATGTCAGTTTTGGTCCCCGTGATGCAGATCAGGGCCCTTTAGTTCGCTGGAAGTCTCTGGTGTGCTTATCATATATATATGCTGATGCATGTGAAAGAGATAGAGTCTCACAATAAAACAACGCATGGTTCTGTGTTCATCTGGACCCCTCGAATGAAAAAAACAGAAAATAATAATACTTTGAATGAGTTACTACTATTCTCTACCCTTTTTTTCCTGTGTTTCGCTGAAAAGTACCATCTACCTCTTTATCCTTTTGCATCCAGACAGCCATTGTGCCACTGTCTGATGTTCTGTCCCCTTTTTTCTAATTCAGCAGCAGTCTGGTTGGAAAAATTGGAAAGAGAAAGATGACAGGGGACAGCAAAAAAACAATACAACAAACGCGTTGATGCTTCTAAATCCATAACAGTACAAAGATTCGCTGAATCTTGTTCTGAACTAAAAAATAAACAGAAGGTGATACGTCTGATGCCATTTGTAATATCGTAGTCTGTGAGCAAGTCAGTAGTGTTGAAGGAGGGAGGAAGAATTGTTTTGTTGAGTCAGATTAATAGTGTATGGAGGCTGTGAAACGGCATGTGGGATTCTGGGTGATAAAAATCTGAAGGAATTAACGGATATTTATGGAGATATTGATTGATTAAGACCTATGAACAACTGAACTGAATGTAGTGATGTACAGAAGAACAGAACAGCAACACATGGTAGTTGGAAGGAATTGGAAGCTAAATTAAACTGGGGCAATGACCCTAAAAGGGGATAGACATCCAAGAATAAAAGAACTACGTTGGTGGCATGTGACTTTGCCGACTTGTTGAATCTAGCAAAATAAATTGTCTTGTCCCCAAATGTCACTGTCCCTTTATTTCTCTGTTTCTTTTTTTGAATTTCTCCCATCTTCCTTCACGTTCATTTCCTGGACTTGCCCTTCACTCCCTTTTTTGTAGTCAAAACTGTATCATAATTGTACATTATATACGTTTCATATTTTGTTGGCAAATAATCTTGTAGTTTAATGGCATGACACAAATGAAAAGTCGAGAGTTTGATTCTGCTTATAATATCAAACTATTAGTACCTATCACTTTAATTAAAAAAAAAAAACAAAACCTTTTAAATAAGTATAATTTTTGATAAATAACAAACCTCTCTAGCTGATATATTATTAATTTATTGATAAAAGTCAAACAAATATATGAATTGAGTAATCTTCATCCTCCCTGTTTTCCCTTTCCGTCTTTGCCGCAAACAAAACGCTTGACAAGAATAAACCTTCATGATTTCATATACGTATTGGTATTAGTTGTCAACTTTATATATGTATGTGCGCATGTGACACATTCTCTTCATTTCCGTTTTCATTTAAAGGCAGAGGCTCACACAGCACAAACGTTACAATAATGCAGTTTTATTTGGAAAGTCTAATTTCTTAGAAACCAGTGTGTGTGTGTCTAAAAGGGTGCTTGGATGAGTGTAAAAGTGTTTTTTAAAAGTATTTTTTCACAAATCGAAACAAACCCCTCTACATATTTACTTTGTATATCGTAAAAGTACTTTTAAAATCATGATTTTGTTTCCATCGAAACATCCCCTAAGTTATTTCAACCTCTGCATAAATCCACCGACCACTTTAATTTCATACAAATATAGTATATAGTAGGAACTTATACAGGTGGGTTCACACAAGCTGTCTAATCACAATAAAAGGTCGGAAAACGCTATAAAATATTCAAAGAAAAAAAAAAGCTCATTAAGTGTGTATAGAGATTATAGTCACATGGTATTTTTTTGTGTGTAGTTGTTATTTATGAAAAATTCAAATTATATATTGTCAAATCCTGACCGAAGAAAATTATTGTGAGATGATAGTGAGAACAAATTAACGGTGATAGTAATGATAGGTTGATCTATATATTCTCTCATATACGAAGACAGGGGAGGGACAGCAGAACAGGGAATTCAATGGATTTAATTACTCTGCTCGCCAAATAGACAGATATGCGTTTCTACTTGAAATTTGAAAAATCTCCGTACAGTTGTGCGTGATGTCCAAACAAGAGAAACCACCAAATATTCTAGTAAATGTTGTGTAAGCTGCTATAAAATATTCAATGAATTTTTAACTGTGCTTCAACCAATGCAGGACGCAAAAGTCCTTGGACGAAATTAGGGCCAGCTCCATTTTTAGCTTTTGATCTATATTCATTTATGGGCTTATAAAATTGTTTTCACGTAAGTCTAGCACAAAAGTAGAACTGGAACGCAAAGTTCAATAGGCTTTGCTGCCGCTAGTAAGGAACTGGAATGCAAAATTTAAAACGGGGAGACAACAAATAAGTTAAGGTCAATGGAACCCACACCATACTTTAACTCAAAATATTACTAGCTCGAGTTTATAGATCATTCCTTCTCATTATATTTTACTTATTTTCTTCAGATACTTTTAAAAATATTTTATCATTCTCTTGCCCATTTCTTAGGGTAAGAAAAGGATCATAATTATGCGTGTGGCTATTGCTACGCACACAAATATATGCGTAATCCCGTTCATCCAGCTAGGGTATTCTCTGGCATGGCCGTGCGTCTCTGTACTTTCCAATAAAATTTTTAAAAACAAATTTCTGTCCCTCTCCCTTTCAATTTTAGAAAAACGTAAGCATTTAAAATAGTTATACGTAATTTAAAATAACTCAGATTTTTTCAATAGTAATCAATACATACAGTTTGTGTGTGTGTATAACAAGTACTCCTCCTGGTCCTATTTATAAGTTTCAAATTTGGGAAAGGTATATGGTCCATTTTATAAGCTTCAATTTAGGTTTGTCTAAAATTTAATATTTTTTTTTTCAATTGCCTTCAATTTTCTCATACATTCTCTTTTATTTTTTTATTTATTATAAGAACATATTTGAAAATAAAAATTTATTTTTAACCTATTTATTATTTTTAACTAATTATTTATTATTTATAAATTAGTTATTTAAAATTTATAATAAGAAACGGACGAGTTGTAAACTATAAGCCGAGCATGAAACAGAAAATAAAAAAAGCAGACGTTACCGTTAGAAAGACGGAAGCAATTAGCGAAGCAGCGTGAGACATTCTGCCTGGCGGATCATGTGGGTGTAATATAGCTGTATACAGACTCATCATGTCCACGTTTTACGTGCTCTCTCCACACATAACACCACCCATTTTACCATATCGATATATGAGCCCTCCTTCTCTCTCTCTCCCCCCCCCCCTTCCATAACTGTTCTTTATTTATTTGCTTCCTCGACGTTATTTCATATAATATTTTATTTATTACTATTCCCCCTTTCTTCCGGAGCCACGCTAGCTAGCGGACAGTATATAAGAGGCCAAGGGCTTCTTCCCAGAATCTACATCAGCCATCCAGATGGGTTCACAGGGAAATACGGGCGAGATGATGATACCGTGTCTGGTTTTCTCGGAGGGAGGGTTGGAGCTAGAAGAAGGGAGTGAGGAATGGAGGGCTATGAGCAGGAGAGTAAGAGAGGCGTGTGAGACTCATGGCTGCTTCTTGCTTCTGCATAACAGAGGCAGTCTGATTAGGTTACAAGAAGAAATGTTGACAGCCATGAAAGCTTTGTTTGATCTTCCTGAAGAGACCAAGATGAAGCACACTAGCCCTAAGCCTTACCGGAGCTACCATGCCAACTGCCCCGTCATTCCTCTCTGTCAAAGCTTCGGCGTCGACGACGCTCCTCTCCCTCACATTGCTCAAGCCTTCACTCGCCTCATGTGGCCTCACGGAGACCCCACTTTCTGGTATATATAGATATATATATATATATGCTTCATCAGATTCCTCTCTCTCTCTCTCTCTATATATATATATATCTATATATTGTTCTTCTTCTTCGATGTTTTGTTTCTTGCGTATGTTCAAATCTGAGTTTGAACATGAACTGGCAGACGCACCAAACTCGCTCACCATCATATCTGCTGTATTAAATACGAGCTTATCCTTTGAACGGACTGCATTTATGGCAGTGCTTATATAAACGCTGACATGCCATTCAGTACAGAAAGAAACTGCCGTAACGAATAACGACTTAATTCCCTCGAAACCATCGCCATCGATCTCTTTTCTTCTTCTTCTTCCTTCTTTTGATGTTTTTAACGTTGCTGATTAATTTTGTGGTCGGGATGATGGTGAACACAGCGAGACGTTGAAGTCGATGAGCGAGGAGATGCTGGAACTGAACTATGTGCTGTTGAAGATGATAGTGGAGGGTCTGGGCCTTCCGAAACACTACATCTCAGACGCCGAGAAGATGAAGAGCACAAGTAATTTCAGGATGATAAAGTACAGAGCTCCTTCTTCTTCAGGCGTCCAACACCTGGAGACGGGTCTCGTCCCCCACACCGACAAATGCGCCATAACCACTCTGTGTCAGAACGATGTCCAGGGACTCCAGGTCCTCACCAAACAAGGCCACTGGATCGATGTGAACGTGCCCCACCATGGCCTCGTCGTCGTCGTCGGCGATATCCTTAAGGTAACCTATTATATATCATCATTAATTAATAATTCAACCCCGTCCCCTCTCTCTCATCGATCACAGTTATAACGGTGGTCGTGTTTATTGATTGATGAAACGAAGGCCTGGAGCAATGGGAGGCTTCATGCGGTGACGCACAGAGTGATGATGGGCGGCAATAAAGAGAGGTATTCGTTCGCGCAATTTGCACTGCCAAAGGAAGAAGATGAGATTGAGGTGCCTCCTGAGTTGGTTGATTCTGATCATCCTCTTCTTTATCGACCTTTTAATTATGGAAAATACTTCGATTATTATACTTCATCTCTCAAAGAAAACGCACTCGAAGTATTTGCAGGCGTATGATATATCAGTTTTTGTGTGTATGTGTATATATAGTTGTGGGTGAACAAGTTATGATAGGGTAGGCTTCTCTGCAGCTGCTGTATGAATTGCCAAATTACTTTGGACTAACTTTATCTTTCAGAATCAACAAAGATTTCTCCCTTTCTGAAGCAAGAAAAAATGGCGCTTTCTTCTCTTTTCTTCATGCAAGAAATGACCAGAGAAATATTATATTGCCAATGTTAATATTTTGCCCTTGAGTGTGTGTGTGTATAGGTTTCAGCTAGCATAACATAAAAGCAATATAGCACAGTACAGCTCATAATATCATGTTCCATGTAAATGCAAAGAAACGCGTCGAGATAGATACCAGTGAGAACCAAAAAATTGAGCTGGGGGCGTGGTGGTGGGACCTTAGATATGTGTCATTATTTCCAGCACTAAATATAGAGTGAAAATATTAATTAATTGCTTCATGAAGAGATTGTTATTGTCAGTCACATCGACATCATTATTTACGAAGTGATTGTTAATCACTTCACAATTTGCACTTTGGCGAACTACTACTACAGTGGAGTTAACAAGTAAATGATGGAGCAGATCTTATGTGTCTAATCAATGGCGCTTAATTTGATGGGAGGAGGTTTAGGAAAACCAATGAAGTGAAAAATGAATGATTTAACATTGACGTAAAATGAACTTGGACTTGTAATAAACAAGGTTCGTGCTTCGGAGTAGTTTGTGTGGGCCAGAGCGTGCCTGGCATATGGGTGTTCTTCTCTTTCCCGTGTCTAGCGGCAGAGAGTTGGTTAGAGGCGGGATCGAAGCAACCACGCACATAGGGCCATTCCGCCTAGAGGCGGTTGCAAGAGAATTTGAAGCAAAAGCGTTAGGTTTCGTCAATTGCAGGCAACTCATTATCTGTCATTTTTCCTGCTTCAATTATCAAATATGCCACCTATACCGTATTTACATTCATATGTTCACGTATTTGACAAAAATAATATTAAAAAAATTAATATGACTACGTGTAAATTTCATTTATCATCATTATACTCGTTATTATTTTTTTCTTGATATTTTTCAACTATATATATTTTTTGAAAATCTAAACGAAGCAAAATCCGTATACTTATATTTATTTATATATAAATATATTCACTTTCGACAAATCTAAATGAACGTTAAAGAAAGCTCCAAATGCAATCCGATTCTAATATTCATATCTTTTTTAATTTGAATGCCATTTTTCAGGCTTGTGAAATTTTGGCATCCTTTTTATAAATAAAATAAAAATTGAACACTTTGTATATTACACATATATTCCCTGCAAATACACACCAGGTCCATTGGCCTGATTTTTGGCAAGTTGGCATGCATGAATATAATAAAAAGAGTAGCGAGGAGTGATTAAATGCGAGAAAATAATGAGCAAAAGAGAAACACGAGATAGACAAACTCAAATGTTTTCAATATTATGTATCCACCCACTGCTGGCTTCATCATTCCCTCACCATCTTCTGTCTTGCCTTTGTTCAGTATGAAAAGAACACCACCAGATTCTTCTCTCTCTAATATACGGCGCCTAATGCTCTCAACCACCCCATTTATATTCACTTTCCTGCCTCTTGAGTTTCTCTTCTTAGGAGGGAGATTCAGAAACGTAAGAACAAGCTTGAAAACTATTTCAAGCCCTCTCATCCTTCCAACTCATCCATACCAAAACCAGAGAATTCAAGCTAAAAATTATATATATATATATATATACTCACACACACACACACACTCAAGTTGGTGTCTATGACTTCATCTGTGATTTACTTGTTCGAGAGTGGTTGCCATAATTATCAGTGAAGATACATGAGAGTCGTAAGTATGTGGAAATGTAATGACGCGGAAATTGATGAGTTTCGACCTGAATCTTACAACAAGGTTATGGTGTTTGAGCATAGGCCTTTGTATTAAATAGAGTCATTTTTCAGTCACACACACACACATATCGCCCGGTATCTTTCTAATGAAAACCATAACCAATGTCGCTCGCTAAATTTGAAAGCCGACCTCCCAGGCACCATCTTTTGTTGCCAGGCAAGGCAAGCCCAAGATCCAGACAAAGTTCTGTTTCTTCTGGGTTTCTATTTGCATGGGAGGCCCAGGAGTTGCCTAACATGTTCAGCCCATTGAGGCCCAGTACCCAACAACTCCAGTGTGTTTTTGGGATGCTTTTTTATAATTAAATTCTTCCAAACTTTTATTACAAAAGTTAAATTAAAAAAATGATTTAAACTAATTATTTTTAATAAATAGATTTTTTTAAATATCCTTATTAATCATATTAGTTAGAACTATTATATAATAAAACTTTTAATATGTGTAAATATTTTTAAAAAATAAAATGAATTAAAATTTTATATTTAAAATTAAATTAATTTAAAATAAAACTGAAATAAGTGGTAATTTCTCACGAGACCTCATTAGCCAAACTAACATGACACGGAAGGGGAAAACGCAGAGAACCGAATCAAACCGTTTTCACTCACGCCATCCGGAGACTGCGATGAGCGAAACTGCATATGGAGGAATCGAAGTCGGAAAATAGTCTTGGTCTGATTTTCGATCTCCTCAACGCCGCCGGTTACGTAGACGCCACGGAATCCGATGTACCTCCGGCTGAGAAGCTCGTTGGTGGCCTCGCATGGTGCATCGCTGCTCTCAACCCCCCTGACCCGAGGCAAGGGAGCTTAATGTAAGTATCTTTTCTTTTTGGGAAAAAAAATGTTTTGTTGTTATTCCTTCCTAAATCCTCAGTTCCAAGATAAAAAGAAAACACTTCGATTTCTTTTTCACCAAATTGATGGTTGGTGGTTTATCTGGGGTTTTGAGGTGCAGAGGCAATGTAGAATGCATTGAGGAAGCTTTAGGATTAGTGGGATGTCCTTACCCACTTAAACCTTCCCATATTCATCATCTTGACAGTGAATTTATTTTTCCTGTCGTACAATGGCTCGTGGATCGTGTTCAATTGAAACACGAAGACGTTGGCAATGAGGTAACAGACCTTTCCAAAACCCCGTTGATGTACTGTCGAATTAAATTATGCAGAACCTTCTGAGTTATTTAATGGATGAAAAATGGAAACTTAAGTATGATGATAGAATTCTCTGGGATGAGTGACTCCTAATTTTTCTTTTCGAGCTTGCTTTTTTTTTTTTTTGGTTAACGCATTGCTATTTTTTCATATGGAACATTTATGTTTTTCACTCTGAAAATCTAGTCGGAGAGGATGAGCATACAAATCAGCAACACAAGCGGGAAGTGGAAGAAACGGAAATTTCAACAAAGATGTTGAATGGCAACTTAGATGAACTGGTTGGTGAGAGTGGCATATGTTAGATATGAACAACGTGCTCCTTTATCACGAAAAGATGTCTTGATTTCATTTCTTAATAATTGGATCATTGTTTCCTAGCTTTTATCTGAGCTGTTATTTGCCGTTGAAATTGATTCATCATTTTCTTTTCTTTTATATTTTAGTTTCCCCCATCTGTCTGCTATCCTTGTATGTGTCTATCTACGGCTAGTGTATTACTGAATTTGTTTGGTTCACCACTTATTTTGTTGTATTCCAGAAACTCCGAAAGATGAGTGTGGTGAACAAATTGGAGGATCTACGAGAGAGAATCAGTAACAAGGGTGCTGATACTGCAGTACAGAAGCTGGTCATGCTGTTGAGGTCCTTGAAGGTGATTGTTTCTCCCAAATATTTAACAACTCTATTTTCTACGGTGAAAATGTTTTACCAATTAATCCATCTTTCTGTATCAATGATGATATTTACAGTAAATTATTTATCAGTAATCTTGACAACTTGATGATAATGAAGTTTCTCACCTTGTACAAAATTAAATAAACAGATTTTTTCTTAATGATGTCTTCAGTTTAATTCAGACTAATTAACTTTATTTCTCACTATATCAAATTTGTTGCATTTTAAACTTCATGGAAGGATATCATAGGCATAGAAAGATAGGAAACAAACTCGAAGCTGAAAAGAAGTTTAATATTTTTAGTTGGCCTTCAGATGACTAAACATTTGGAAAAGAAATGAACTGAGAGGCGAGGAAAAGCTATGCATTCAATAGTTAACTTACTTAAGATGGAGAAACAGAGGAACATGTAGTTTCACTTATACCATCTACCATGAATTGTCTCCGTGTCATACAAACATACACACTCACACACAGAAACAGAAGCAGAATTGGGTATATGAGATCACTAACCGCCTGAAACTGTGGAGTTGGAGCTTCTGACATCTTTCTAATGTTGAATCAAAGGATTCAATTTGATTCACATCATGACTTGGAAGGCGTACTATTATATTGTTTAAATAATACCAAATTGTAAGATTCAGACGTAAAGTAAAAATACCTTGAAAAATAAAACATATGCATAAACCAACCACAAGTCTCTTTAGAACTTTATTGCAATATCCGAACTAATGTACTCTTGGCTTTCGATTTAGGAGGCATAGTAAGTGATAACAACTAAAACACTTCAATGGCACTCTAAAGGAAAAGAGTTAGAAGTTGAGAGAGGACTCAAATGACACTTGAATCTTGAGACAAAAGGACATTTTCGGGTTTGCTTGCTAGGAAAGTCTCAATCATGTGCACAAAGAAACAGACTGGCATTTCTTATGCTGCGAAGGAGACTGAAATTGTTTATCAAGAAAGCTCCGTAGTTTTGATCTTTCATTATTCTTTTACTAGAATTCTTAATTGTTAGGCATCATTCTGTATCTTCATGGTTTTTTTTTTTTTCCCTCTCTAAAAAAATTCATCATGCTTTAGTAGATGGTGGTGTTGTTGGGACATAAATCTGGCAATAGTTCCCCACCCCCCAAAAAAAAAGCAATGTGACCCACTGCATAACTCTGACATGGGATGAAGTGCCAATTGCGGAAACACGCCATTAATCAATCGTTTCTGGAATAACATCTATTTGTGTGGGCATCGTGATGATTATTCAAGCGCATGAACAATTCCATTACGGATTTGAATTGGTGCCGATATGAATTGGATTGTATTGCATGAATTGACTCATGAGTTGCATGATACTGATTTCCATGCCACAATTTGATTTTGTGGTTTCTCATCTATTTGTTTGTCTGAATAAACAAACTTTGCTTGCATTATGAGCAATGGATGTCATTTGAATCTTTAGGGTCCGAAAATCACGTATTACTAATGCTATTCTCTTTTGGTTCAGGATCTTGAGAGGCAGGAATATCATTTTCTGTCTAGTCGTGATGCTAAACATTCAGAAATTCAAGCTGAAATAGGTGAATTGGAGGGGAAAATAGCAAATGGCTGTGATAGCAAGATCCTATTAGATGGGCTGCAACATTCTTTAAGTGAATCGCTTGGAAAACTTGATTCAGCTAAAAAGGTAAAATATTTTTAGTTAATGGACATGTCTTCTCCCCTTATTTAATCACTATTAGCATGTTTGGAACCATGTTGGCACCTTGCCAAACGCAAGCAACCCTCTTGTTTCTGTCAAAGCGATGTTTTGACACCCCAAAATTTGATTCCAAGTATGCCGTATAACCTGGCTGCTTTTGCTTCCTAATAGGAACTTGCTGCTAAAATGAGTGATTTCGTAGCAGTAAAGCGGCAGATTGATGACCTACCATGCCAATCAGAGCTCATCCAGTAAGTTAACACCCCCCCCCCCAAACGCATCCATTGAAATTGATTTTCCCTAGCTCAAGGTTAGGTTCAGTTTGAGCTGCATAAGATGGAAACCAAGTAACTAATGCATTGCAGCTTTGTTCGGCTTACAGTTTTAAGGCGTATGAGGAGAATGAAAGAGAACTAGAACCAGAAGGATCAATAGTCAGTGCTAAAATTAAAATCCTTTTTTTGTCCCACATTGTGCATATAACTTGTTTCTTTAAAACAAAAATTTCAATTAGAAACTAATACTATATCTCGAATAAATTTTTAATCTGCTCTTGAATGCAAAATTTTTATTGATTTCTCAATATATTCATTTACCGTTTTAATGGAAGAATGATTTGTTCAAACTCAAGGTGGGAGTTATTTATCTAGCATTTTGTATGTGTGAGAATGAGACATAGGATGTAGAATATGACAGAATATTCAAGAATGATATTTAGATATATTGTACACGGGAGGGAAGAGAGCTATATAAATTTGTTACACCTTTGACATGATATCTTTAGATACTAACAGGTTCCTGTTTCTGTAGGTATGAACATCGCCTTTCAGAACTGTATGCTCTTATCCAGGTTTGCACTTGCATTTTGGCGATTTACCCTGTACATATTTTTGTGGGCTTTTATTAGTATAAACTTTTTTGCCCATGGCCAATGTGCAGGGAAGACATAGACAAACTCGTAAATGCTATGCCACTTACAATGCTCTTTTGGAAATTAAAGAATTGATGCTAAAGGAAGCATCCCTGTTGAATTCCATCATTTCACAGGTACTCATTGGAGAATGGAGAGTGATGCAAAACCTTTCTTGGACATGTGCCTCAAATCTTATTGAACTTTTCTACTGCAAAAAAGTTATCAAATTTGTTTTGCCTCTTCATCTTGTTTTCTGTTAATCATGTCCTGTTCCTAGTTTTATGTACCTTTTTTTGGCTCTTTGAATCTTTCTCAAGAATTATTCTCTTTACCATAATTTTCTACTACTCAAGATTTTATATTATTTGGCATTTTGATGTTTTGGTTTCTTAGAAAATTGCCAATGTGTGTTGTTGTAGATTATTGTTATTTGTGGCCATTATCATGGATTAGATCAGTAGGTTGCTGACAACCTCTTTATTTCATTTTACTGCAGTTTCAAGAGGCCTTTAGTAGCCCTGATGGTCGTCTGAAACTTATTAAATCCATGGAAGGAATTGTCAAGGGCAGCCAGCAGGTAATGCTAAGTTTCTGCCATGAATGAATGATAAATCAGAGAGAACCCCGTATTGAAGCTTTTGAAGTCACGAATCAATTATTGGTTTTTTTTTGGGCAAAATAATTGTCTTAGATCAACAAGAATTATGGTGTGTGTGTGTATTTATATGTGTGTATATATATATATTTTCAATTGCTGATTCCATTGGATATGGTCTATATGATTCCAAGCTTATACTGCTGGCATTCATATTTGTAGAAGCTAGAAAAGGTTCAAGTAGGGCTCCAAGAAGAAGAGAGAAATCTTGATGATGTTAAGAAGCGGTACGCTGCAGCAGTTGGTGCTCAGAAGCGTTGCTATTCTCTGATGAAAGCGTTTCAGGTATGATAATTAGTATCAGCCTTCTAATCTAAGCCTCATGGCAGCTCTTAGTCACACACTTTGTTCCTCCTTCCATATCTCTTCCTTTATGACACTGTGCAGTGATTCTTCTGAGCTATGGCTTCACACTTGAAGAATATTTTTGCAGGAAGAAATCGCCATGAAGGATAAACTTGGGTGTCAAGTTCCGAGCAGAGATTGTTGACATTCTTATGGTCAAGGTGTCCAAATAGTGTTCGCAGGGTCAGACAAGCGTGCTTCCGTAGTTGGCATGTAAAGATGGAAAGTGGAACATTGGAATCTTTGCTACTTCAAGTTGCGGCTTCAATTCTCTCTCTCTCTCTCGCCTCCCCCCCCCCCCCAAAAAAAAAAACAACACAAAACACCAAACGAAAGAAAGAAAGACACGTCAAATAGTTAGCTTGTATAAACAGGTAATTGCGTGTCATACGATTGAATGAGGTGCTTTGCTGTTCACTCTAAAATTTGAGTTTCTCGTTTTCTCCTGCATGGGTAGTACTCCCTCTTGGCCCTCTGGCGTGTTATTTTTTTAAAGTAATTTTTGGTTTCAAATATTAGTCACCAACAGCCTCATTAATTACTTCTTCTTTTTTTTGTCATTTTTCCCTTGTTATTAATTGAGGTTCAAAATTGAAAAAAAAAAAATTAAATCACATTATTCAGAGAGAGATAAACTTGGAAAAATTATTAATTTAGGACAAATTTAATTATTTAACTGTGATTTCTTATTATGTGAAAATAATTTTGTACATTTTTTAAACGTGAAATTAGTACA